CCCCTGCAATCAGAGGCGCGAGCTACAAATTAGCATGGGCGTGAAGCTCCCCCTTATCTGGCGCTCCTCTCAAGTAGTTAGCAGCTGAAGTAAATCAAATTTGAAATTTCGGGCCCGCTTTTCCAACAGGCTGCGATAATGAATTGCCGCTCGGCTGGCTTCCATGTCGCCGCCTTTTGAGCCGGCGCGAGAATTTATGCACGCGGCTGGCTCGGATCCTCCAAGATCTGCTCGTTCGTTCTCAGCCCGTAAATCCAATTCTCGACCACCTTTCCTGCGAACCCCCAAATCCGGCGGCTTAACCAGTTAATTAGTCTTTTGTGCAATGACTCGTGCAGCCGTGTGGGGGAACAAAGGCTGCACTTTGTTCCCCCGCCTGCTGATGATTATTTGTCCCCGACCCGAATAAGTGAGTCCGTCGCACCTGCTGCCGCACTTATGTAATGTTTCATGGCCAAATAAATTTCAACGGATGAGCCATAAAATTAGTAGGCCCGAGTGCAGGTCCGGCTGCCGATTAGGGCACCCAGAAGGATTGTAATACACGTGTAAAAAAACGGGCAGGTCGGCGGGCAGCAGGGAGGACGCGGAAGTGCTTATCGATTTATTTATTTTCTCAGCAAACACTCGGCCGTTGTGTGTGACACTCGAATTTTATATACGGCCCCGAGGAGAGCTACGGGAGGGTCGTATAATATAAAGTATTATGGTCGTTTTTCGATTCAATTGTGTTACAAATGAATGAATGAATGGATGGACCCGCCGCAAGGGGGAAACCGAACCGGATGGTTTGAGGCTGGCGAGGCGCGAGGCCGTCGGACGGAAGCGTTTGCGGAGAGTCTCTCGTCGTAAAATTAATTAGCCTCTCTTCTATGAGCCCCCGCGCCACTGGAGAGGTGCAAAAATTCACTTTGAAATTCCGCTTTGTCTTCCTGCTTTTCCGCGCCACCTCCGGCGCAGCCAGCGCGTTCTACGTGTGTTTGAAGTGGGATGTTTGCGTGGCGCAAACCAAGCATTGTTTGGAATAATGCGCCGAAATTAGAATAAATTGCTCGCTCTAAACGCCCGCCGCTGCGATCGCAAAACATAATAAACAGTGGAGAGAGAGAGAGAAAGAGAACGCCGCTGGCAATATTTGGTGAAACGATAAATTGTTAACATATTTTGTGTGATGCGATCGTGTGTCTGATTGAACGCACAGCAAACGTGTTTTTGCTTAAAATTAGTTTCTATAGTTGATAATTATGTTCGCGCAGGCAATTATTCCCCCTTTTTAAACAAACCAAAAAAATGCTTAAAAAAACCCTGAATCTCATAAATTGATAAACAGTTCCTCTAAAAAACTGAATATTTTGAATAACAAACGTTAGTAATTTGTTTTTCTGGTTGATCTGCTCACGATCGTTCGACTTATCCTAGTTTTTGTTATTTTTGATGACCTCTGTTTCGTTTTTAATCTTTCATCAATAACAAATGATTTTGAATCTAACTGGATCTTTTAAATTACTAAATAAACATAGTTAAGCAGAATTATTGATATTTTTAATTGCTTAATTCTATGTTTACTCATAATACCTCTAATTTTAAACAATTATTTATTACAATATTGGTTAAATAATTATAATAAATTTTAGAAGTTAAGGACAAATATTTTATTCAGAATTACATTTTAATTTTATTTATAAATTTCTATGTTCAAAAATTATTTTAGTTTCAAATATTGGCCAATTTTATGCTAAATTTATTAATAAATCACTGTCATGTGTCATGGTATTAAATTTAATCAAGAGTTATATAATATTAATTTAACAATTAATCATTCTTCAATTAGCTTGCTTCCAAGAAGCTGGTATGAAATTCTTTCATTTTTTCCAGATTAATTCCAGATATTTTAACCACTAATCAATCCAAATTAAAAATTTTCTAGCAGGCAAAATTCCTAATCTGAATCTTTTACCATATAATTAGATCTAGAACAGTTAGCGTTTTTTTCCCTCATCTTCTGCATTATATTTATTTTATCTCGACATTTTCCTCAATCCTTGAAACGAAAACTGTACAAAGGAACAAACGAAATCAGCCTGGAGGAGGCTTGCTAGGCTCGGCCAAAGAAAAGTTTTTCCCCAACTCCACTCCATCTTCTCTCCTTATATTCTTTCTTTTGTGGATCCATCGCTAAAAAAGAAAATTGCGTTCTCGTTTCCCTGGGAGAATTAAGCTCCTAAAGCACTTCCCTCTCGCCCGGCCCCGCAAAAAACCCAACCTGCTCAACTCGAGACACTTTGCATCTCCGAGCAAGGTGTTATCTGCACTCTTTTTTTATTATAAATTTCGCCATTATTCCATCGAAGAAGACTCGATTTGGGTGTTATTTTTTCTTTTTCGTGCCCCCAGGGTGGTCGCCGCAGGGAATTGGCACGAAATGAAAATGACGTGTTTTCCGCCGCCCAACTGATGGATGCTGATTACAGGGCCTGAATTTTAAAACAAAAAGGAATTGATTCCGGAGGTGGCGCCCGAGGCCCCTGGGAATGTTTGGGACACGATTTTATTGATTCTGCCCGTGCGTATCGCCGCCGAAATAGCGCTCCTGCTGGCGGCGTCGAGGGCCTTTGTGCCCTCGCACGCCCTGACCTTTTCGTCGGAAATTTGCGCTTCGGCAAAAACAACGCACGCGCCGCGTCGCACCGCCGAAATAACAATGAGCATCAAGTTCGCAGAATTACTCGAGCAAACTCTAGCTTACCAACATGCAGACGACGATGCTATAAATATCTCATTTCATTAATGAAAATCGTTGTCGTCGGTATGAATTTGATCGTCATCCACTTGTACTGTTATTGGTGGGTTATTAAAAATTTCTTGGAAAGGAAAACAATATCTTATGTGGGTTGAATTTCTAAAGTTGCCAATATTGTTCCACAGGAGGAAAATCTACGGCATTTCCTCACTTTGAAAGAATCGTTGAATGTAAGCTCCTGGAAAAAATAATACTCAATTTGAGCAATATTTGCTTCCAAATAAGACAAGCTATAAATAACAGCAGCAATATTTCACAATGAAGCCACCATACGAAAATATGATAATGAAGACATTTTCCTTCAACAAAATTTACTATGATAGTTATAAATGATAAAATGATATTGAATTTTTGAAAGAAAAAAAAATTGGATGAAAAATAATTATATTGTAATTGATGAATTCAATAAAAATGGTTGAAAAATTAGATATTTATATGTCGAGACTAAAATTCAGTCAAATTATAATTGCATCTTTTTCCTGTCCTATTATTGTTTCAAAAGTTTACAAAATTATTCATATTTAATTAAATATTAAAGAAAAACTGATTCATTGAAAATAAATTAATCACTCGGTTCGACAAAGCTACAAAAAATTAATTTATTTCAGTTGCTTTTTGGCTTTGAATACATAACAAACAAAATTTAATTCAGAGACTGAATATAAACGGTTTCCGCAAATTATTAATGTTAATTATTTTACCGGCCATTAAAACAGACGAAATAAGCGCTTTGTCATATATAATAAAAAAATTCTAAAAAACAAATTAAACATGCAAGTCGTGTATTTAATCATCAATTTTTGCGCCCCCTCCAACGTTCCAAAGTCAACGGTCTACAGAGGATTAAAAGTGACAGACGCACGAAATTATGAAACACAAACAGCGGCAAATTAACATTCCCTTTCACGAAACACGCGTTTATTTACTACCAAGAGCAGGAAGGTGAAAATAATAAAAAGTTGACTGACGGATTAGCTCGCGATAAAAATTCATAACAGTCTGCGGCGGCGAATGGCGCATACACGAACGAATGCGTGAAGTACGATTGCATACATCAGCGCGGAAAACATTTTTGCGGAAGTCGGTGCGGCGGCGGCCGATCAATACTCGCTCTTTGTACCATAATTTATTGCGTGGGAAAGGTCAACCCGGGCGAATTGTGTCGCCTCTGCCGGTTGTGTTGCACCCGGTATAACAGCAAGATTTCACTTTGCACGGACGGAGGAGAGAAAGAAAGAAAGAAACGGGTGATTTAAAGATCAAGACGAAGGAGGGCAGTAAAGAAGCGGACAGACCGGCTGCGGGTGGGAACGGCGCCTTTTTTCCGACAGAACTGCCCACCTGCTGGGATAAAGACACCGTTTTCTCTTCCCAGGCGAAAATGCAAGCCCGCAGAGCATTAGTGCTCAAACGGTTGCATAAGTTTTATAGCCTTGGAAGTAGAGAGCACGGTGTTGAGCTCTCTTGATTTTTGCTCTCTTATCCGGTGGCGTCGATTCTCAGCCGAGCGAGCGAGTTCGAGAGGAAGGTTACGTACCGAGTTTGCAATTTGTTTTGCAGATGAGAATGATTTGATTTGGAGGAATATTCCGACGGGAAACTTTGTAATGCTCTCTGCCGAGCTATGTCATTACTTGCGGTTGACATGAGAGCACAAACCACACGGCGCGATTAAATTTACGTTGTAAAGCATTAAACTTTTTAAAGATCATGTAAAGGAACAAAGAATTTATTTTCAAGAAATAACATTTCTTAAGGGAAGAGCAACAATCATGATTTATTCTAAAAAAAAAACTTTGGAATCAACTCTACTTATGCAATTTTTAATTAAGTTAATGGGAAATTTGACGAAGTTTAATCATACTAAATATTAATTTGAAATTTAAATTTTCACTCGAAATATGATCTTGGCGGATTATTTGTGTAAATGATCAAATCAAATGAAGTTGTTACGTTGAAGACAGTAAATAAGTTATTATTATAAATAAATTTAAGAATAATATATAAATTGCATTATTGCAAGTATAAGTTTAAAAAAATCGTTCATTTATTTCAAAGTAATATGAAATAACTTTATAATAATAAAATTAAAATTAACAATTTATAAATCAAGTTATATGAGTTATTATATGAAGTTAAAAATAGTGTTAAAGAAATACAAAATGTGAACATAATTTAAAATTTAATATTTTTGTTTTAGGTATCGTGGATACGACGGCGAGACGCGCACATTTTGGCCGTGGACCGGTACACGTTTATCGCTGATGAGCGTTTCCAGGCGTTCCACGTCGAGTCGACGGACACGTGGACCCTGCAAATCAAGTACGTGCAGGGTCGCGACGCCGGGATGTACGAGTGTCAAATCAGCACCGAGCCCAAAATGAGCCACTTCATCACCCTCAACGTCGTAGGTGAGTGCAATGGACCCGCCAATTTGCGTGGCCCCGTTTCATGTCAAAGGAACCCACCTGAGATGCGACAGTCTCTATTTTGTCTCAGCCCAGTTTGTTTGTTTGCTTGTTTGCCGATTCCTCTCTCGGCGGCGCCGCACGTAAACTTTGATATTTGAGAAGCCTGGCCTTAAGTCGACGCACTCCGCCGGCATTTCAAATAATGCTGCCGCCAATTTGAGCTGCGAATTGCGACGCTGCAGCCGCCGGCGGTGCGTGTTTGATTTGGGTATCGAGGCGGCTGATATGGATTTGTATCGTTGGTTTGAGGTATTAGGCATTACCACGATCCGGTCTTCCGGGCTGAGACGCGAGAGGAAGAAGTCAAAGCAGCGGAAAATTGCTTTGTTTTTATACCTGGAGGAAAAGGTTATCAGCTTTGCGGAATCGTTGTGCCGGAGAAGCAGCTTTTATTGTTGTTGTTTTACGTTATTTTTTATTTTCTCTCTGCAATCCATACTAAATTTCAAATTATGTTTAGGAATAGGGAAAACGGCTAACCATATTTATATAATTTTTTTTTCACATGGAAACTCCAAATTTTGACTTTTATTCAACAGTTGGAACTGAGTAAATCAGCGAAGGCAAAGCAGCAATTTTGATTTTTTAAACAATTTTCCTTGAATTTACTTTTTTTATTGTATAAAAAAAACCAAATTGCACATCTCAGACTCCAGGTCCTGAGCGGAGAATACTTATTCCCGCAACCATTTAAAAGTTTAAAAATCCTCGAAACTTCATTCTGATCATTAATAGTCTCACGGTCACTCTCTCAAGGATGAAGAGGTGAAATATATGAAGTGACTATTAGTTAATGAAATTAATTGCGTTGCAAAAAAAAATATTTAGCTAGAAAAATTTAACTTTGCTTAAATTCAAAACCGATAGCCGATGCCCATTCAAATTATCTTTTCCAAAAATTATCATTTTTTTACTTCGTGAAAATTTACCAAAGAAATTTATAATTAGTTTTGATTCATGGTGAATGGAATAATAGATGATAAAAAAAATTAATTTCTCTTCCGATTTACTTGATGAGATTTATTTTTCAATGGTTAAACAAAAAGTACAAAATGTTCCACACATCCGAGAAAAAATAAAAAGCTATCAAGGAAAGGCCAATTATTAACTGATTACAACAATTTAAATAATTATCATCTTACATTTTAATTACACAAAACAAAATAAATGGAAAAATGTATTTGCCATATTACATTTTATCCCAATGTCAACTTTTTGCGTACGCCAAATTTTAACGGAAACAGTCCGCTCCAGCTAAACGCCGCCGGCTTACAATTACACTTAATCGTCCAATTAGTCATGTCATTTTACCCGGCGCCGCGCACCGTTTTTCTTCCACCGCAGCCGAAACGTTGGCGCCCCGACATGCAATAACAAGATTATCGCCGGCCTGATTGGCCCTTGTTTTATTGTCTGCCAGCTGCTGGGCTTGGGATTTTTTTCGGTATTTTCAACAGTGGCTCTTTGCAAGGCAAATCAGGCGGAAAGGTTCTTTGGAAAAATATGCAAATTTTCCAGTCACAGTGAAAGGGAGGGTGAATGGAATGGGAAACAAAAACAAATAACACCACTAGAACCGTCGTTGTGTGGAAGAGCTTTAGAATCACGAAAAAAAATAATGTTTGTAATAAAAGGACTGAATTTTTTTAATTCAACATTTTTTAAATAAGCAATCATTCCAATAAAAATTTAATATTTTAAGAATGAAATGTTTTATCTGCTGGAAATACTTGACTTGAACAACTTTTGTTTATCCATTTTTTTTTTTATCACTTTGATCAAACTCTTTTCGTTCAAAATTTCTCATTTGAAAGTATTTTGTAGTAAGCCTGAAACAACGTACTGTTCACAATTTATTTACAAACTTTATCAAAGTTTTTACTTTGTGAAAGTTCGGCGTACTGGAATTGTCTATAAAGACAGAAGTGTTTTTGCACTATTTTTATTTCTGCGATCAGGGTGAACTGTTTTCTTCGCAGTTCATCCCTGTCAATAAATACATATATACTTACTTTTGCTTTCATTATTAGCGCGACAGTCATAATATTTTGATCCGGAATTTCGTACGTATTGTAAATTATGAATTATGATTACAATTGAGAAATTGAGAAAAGCTCTTAATCTTGCGTATCTAGTTAATGTGAATCATCATCATAAAATGGATAACCACTTTTGAGGATGGAGATTTAAATCTCTAAAAAATTCTTGTAAATTAGATAAGATGAAAATAAAATCTTTAAAGCATAAAAACCCATAAAAAAAAGATTATTTAAAAAATAATAAATTATTTAAATAATTTAAAATACAATAAACTATTCTTATTAAATTAAAAGATATAATAATAAAAATGCTTAGAGAAATAATTCACTATTAAAAAGTTGTATGCTTTTGGTGTGCTTCGCTCTTTGACCTTTCGACTTGAGCCGCAGGACAAACGATTTGGCTTCGTTACCTTTGTGGTGTCAGCCGAGATTGCCGGTGGTGATTCGTACCTTTTTCGCTTTCGCCAGATTTGTCGTCGTCACCGTGGTGCTCGCCGGCTTTCACGCTCCCGCATACATGTATGTTTCATACGTATTGATTCTAGATTCCCATAATGCATCGGCAGAGCGAGAGACGAGTACGAGCGAGCAGGCACTTCATTTTTGTTGTTTGTTGCTCACTTTTCGCCACGCCAGCAGTGCGCCGGCGAAAAAAAAACGGCATATATGTGTGAAAAAAAAGCGCGAACAAAAAGCCATTACTTTAATACGCGTGCGGCGAGGAGAGGAAATTTCTGCTATCATTTTCTGGCACCACCGCCGAGTTACGTCCTCGTCACACAACAAAATTGCCCCGGATATGGAAAAATCCGAGGGAAATCCAGCGACATTTGAGCGGCTTTTCGGTTCGATTGATTCGAAAATCGTCGCGCTGAGAAACAAATGCACAGGGTTATTGGCTGCTCGGCTGCCAACGCGTTTATTGCGCGCAGAAACTTGATATCGCGCTGAATTATGGAAATTGGCTCTTGTGCGCTGCTGTTTCATCGAGCTGTGCAGCTTCCAGTGAATGGCGCGGGCGTTGCGTTGCAGTGTAATTAATTCCGAGTGTGCCACACGATCATTACGTTTTCAGAGCCGTTCGGTTCAATCAGTCGGCGTGGGCAAAGTAAATGCGTTCATTTGATCCAGTCGGCAATTGTTTGTAATTTTAGAAGGCAATGACAATGGTTAACATGTGGCTTTTTCCATTCTTGTCGATGAAATTAATGATGTGTAAAATAGGAAACAATGATGTAACCAATTTAACTCTGCTCTGAAACGACAATTACAATAATTCAAGTGATGTAATAATAAAATATTGAGAGTTTTTTATTAAAACAACAATTTTGTACAATCTATTACCATTTGATTATTTAATATATTACAAATACTTTCGTATTTATATTAAAAAAAAACTTAAAAAATCCAGCAGAAATTTTACACACTTTAAGTATTTTCGGTGTTCAATTTTATTATAGCAATTTACGACTCAAACGGGGTCGTTTTCCAACCACATTACCCTCTCTCGCAACCCTTTTTCGGTGTCTTTTCATGTAATCGATGTCAAATTTATTTTTTAGTCAGTTTCCCTGACTGCGTGTGCCACCATTTGCTCGGCGCTCACATTTACTTATCTTGTGGCCGCGCGTGAAAATTTATGCGCCGCAGTCGGACTCGCTCGCTCGCTAAGTCGCGCTTTTCGAATCGCCCCCCGGCGGCCGCATTACGAGAAGAAAGACCGCGGCTCACCTACATCACACAGACTGCATGCATAAAAAGCGTGGGCCATTCATCATTAGTCTGGCAGCGCGCCCTGGAAGGCCGAATTTGAGAAAGCAGCAGTCGTTTAAAAAGAAGGCGGCCCTGCGTGGAGAATGAGAAAAAAAATGTGTAAAGGAAAGAGAAAGGGAAAAGCAGAAAAGCAGCGACTGCTGTCGTGTAGGTAGATAGGCCTTTTGATAAAGCCGCGTTATCTGATTTGACAGGGGCGGACTGTCACTCTTGACCTTTATTGGGGCGCCCCCTGCCTTTGTTTAAATGCTCTGACGTTGAACCTCTTTTTCTCCAGAGCTGCAGTGACTGGGAAATTTTTCATGTCTAAATTAATCGTCGCGCCCCCCACGTTTGTGCAGCAGATTTTTCATTTGCTGCGAGTGAGTTTATTTATTTTATCCTCTCTGACGCAACAAACAAACGATTACTGCTGGTGGGCCAAAGTCCCATTGGGATGGAATTAAAATTTGCAGAAGATGAGTTCGGCATTTAAATGTGGTGACCTTTGTGGAGATTTCTTTACACTGGTCTGATGTAAAGTTCTTGAATTTAGCGAAGAGAAATGATAAATTTTCATCTTTTTTTTTTAAAGAAGTAAGTAATAAAATGCAGCCTTTCATTATATAAATCTTAGGTTTAGAAAAATTAAACAAAAAATAAATTCAGATTTCTGTTTTCCTCTTGATTTTTAATTTCTGTCCGTTTAATTACAAGTATGAAATCCTCATGTATGGGGCAAAACTGTTCATTAATAGAACTCAAACCATTGTTGCAACCAGAAAATCACCCATTTTAAATAATGACTAACTTATATTTTCAGATTTTTCAACTATTAATCACTGATTTGCATTCACTCTGAGACTGTTGTAAATTTTGACGTAAAAGTGAAACATGTCTAATTTAAAAAAAAAAAAAATGCTTCTTAAGAATTTTGCGTAGCATATTTTACTGAATAAGATTTATAGAAAAGTATTTAAATTTTAAAATAATATAAATAAAAAATTTAAGTTAAGCTGCATTAATTTAATTTTCAAATTTTCTTAAAGTATCTTTTGGACGACTTTCATTCGAATAATCATGCTATTTTCCACTTGAAAATTAATCTTGCCCCCCACGAGTGCAAGATTTTTTCTCATTTGTGGT